GTTGCCGCATTCTGCAAGGACCCCCGAAGATGACGAAGCTCCAAGCTTCTTGCCGCCGCCGCAGGATTCTGCAAGGGCCCCCGAAGATGATGAGACGCCAAGTGACTTCTTGCCGCCGCCGCAAGATTCTGCGAGGGCCCCCGAAGACGACGAGTCGCCTACCGATTTCTTGCCGCCGCAAGATTCCGCAGGGACCCCCGAAGATGCCGAGCCGCCCACTGATTTCTTGCCGCCGCAAGATTCTGCGCGGGCCCCCGAAGACGACGAGTCGCCGACCGATTTCTTGCCGCCGCAGGATTCCGCAGGGACCCCCGAAGACGACGAGTCGCCGCCCGATTTCTTGCCGCCGCAGGATTCCGCAGGGACCCCCGAAGATGCCGAGCCGCCCACTGATTTCTTGCCGCCGCAAGATTCTGCGCGGGCCCCCGAAGACGACGAGTCGCCGATCGACTTCTTGCCGCCGCACGATTCCGCAGGGACCCCCGAAGATGCCGAGTCGCCCAGTGACTTCTTGCCGCCGCAGGATTCCGCTCCAGGGGGAGCCCCCGGAGACGCGCCCGCCGACGGCGCAAACCCGCCTTCCGACGACGGCGCCGCGGCCCCGCCGCCCCTGCCGCTGGAGCCGGCGCCGGTGTCCTTCGTCGTCCCCATGGAGGCGGCCGGGGCTTTCGGGCCCGCGCTGCTCTCCGCGTGGCTCCCCGTCCTCGCCCTCGCCGTCGCGACCGGCGTTGTTGTGTGATCGCGCTTTCCACGCGCCCGCCGACGCCGCCGAGTCGGCGCATGGCAAGAGGTGCTGCGCGCACGGAGTCAGCGGGGAGGCTTTGAACATCATCGGCAAGCATGACCTTTCGATTCTCTTTGAAGGTCATGTCACCTGAATGATACACAACACTCCCAAACCGAAGAGGCTGGAGTCGCGATAAACAACACTGTCTATCCGAAGAGGCTTGAGTCGTGGATACACAGCACTGCCAAACCGAAGAGGCTGGAGTCGCGATAAACAACACTGTCTATCCGAAGAGGCTTGAGTCGTGGATACACAGCACTGCCAAACCGAAGAGGCTTGAGTCGTGGATACACAGCACTGCCAAACCGAAGAGGCTTGAGTCGTGGATACACAGCACTGCCAAACCGAAGAGGCTTGAGTCGTGGATACACAGCACTGCCAAACCGAAGAGGCTTGAGTCGTGGATACACAGCACTGCCAAACCGAAGAGGCTTGAGTCGTGGATACACAGCACTGCCAAACCGAAGAGGCTTGAGTCGTGGATACACAGCACTGCCAAACCGAAGAGGCTTGAGTCGTGGATACACAGCACTGCCAAACCGAAGAGGCTTGAGTCGTGGATACACAGCACTGCCAAACCGAAGAGGCTTGAGTCGTGGATACACAGCACTGCCAAACCGAAGAGGCTTGAGTCGTGGATACACAGCACTGCCAAACCGAAGAGGCTTGAGTCGTGGATACACAGCACTGCCAAACCGAAGAGGCTTGAGTCGTGGATACACAGCACTGCCAAACCGAAGAGGCTTGAGTCGTGGATACACAGCACTGCCAAACCGAAGAGGCTTGAGTCGTGGATACACAGCACTGCCAAACCGAAGAGGCTTGAGTCGTGGATACACAGCACTGCCAAACCGAAGAGGCTTGAGTCGTGGATACACAGCACTGCCAAACCGAAGAGGCTTGAGTCGTGGATACACAGCACTGCCAAACCGAAGAGGCTTGAGTCGTGGATACACAGCACTGCCAAACCGAAGAGGCTTGAGTCGTGGATACACAGCACTGCCAAACCGAAGAGGCTTGAGTCGTGGATACACAGCACTGCCAAACCGAAGAGGCTTGAGTCGTGGATACACAGCACTGCCAAACCGAAGAGGCTTGAGTCGTGGATACACAGCACTGCCAAACCGAAGAGGCTTGAGTCGTGGATACACAGCACTGCCAAACCGAAGAGGCTTGAGTCGTGGATACACAGCACTGCCAAACCGAAGAGGCTTGAGTCGTGGATACACAGCACTGCCAAACCGAAGAGGCTTGAGTCGTGGATACACAGCACTGCCAAACCGAAGAGGCTTGAGTCGTGGATACACAGCACTGCCAAACCGAAGAGGCTTGAGTCGTGGATACACAGCACTGTCAAACCGAAGAGGCTTGAGTCGGAATGAACACCCGGCAACGACCGGGTCTTCTCTGTGACCCCCCCAGCAAGGACATTTCACGAGTGTAAAGCTCTGTGCAAGCGTCATGCCTGCCGCTTCGGTTTGGAAGCGGCAGGCATGCCTGCCGCTTCCGTTGCTCCCGTGCAACGAGCTACTTTTCTCGTGCTGAAATGAAAAAAGGTCCGATTGATGAGAGAGAGAGAGAAAGCGAAGGAAGCGTCGCCGCGAAAGCAAGTCGAAGATTGGCCAACACGCGCGCCGACTTTCGGTTGGTCGTCGATAGCCGCAAGAAAAGCAGTCGCGACTCAACCAACCGGTGTGCGCTTTTGGAAGGCAAAGTGCCGCCGCGCAAAGTGCAACGCAGCTGCGTGCCAAACCAAGCACGGCGGAAAAATCTGGGACCGGAGGCCGCAGCGCTCCCCCGGAAACACGAGGACGCTGCGGAACACGCGATTCTGTGCTCAGCTCCCCCTTGCGTAAGCTGGGCTGGAATCGTGTGTTTTTAGGAGCCTGCCCCTGTTGCGACGCAGCGATCAAATCTTCACACAGAATCTTCATTTCCTACACTTAGCTGTTACAGCAAGTGAAAAGAAAATGAAGATTCCTTTATTATCGAGTAGTCAACCTCTACGACCGCTCAGGAACACCTCCGAAAAGAAGACTTGTACTCACGTACCAAAAGTTCCCAGTATCGGAGCGCGCGTAACGTCCGATTCATTCCGAGCGGTCCAGACCAGCTCACGCGCCAAGGTGTGGAGTTGAGTCAGGGGATTAGTTTACGTTGCAGATTTAGACCAACGTTGGTCTAAATCTGCAAACCGGGGCTGGCTGGGGAAAAAATTAAAAATCGTCGGAAAAACGCAAAACACAGCGTTTCCAGGAAAGATAGGTGGGGGGGGGAAGTTGCGGAGGTGTGTCAGCCCCAAGCCACCGAAACGAAAGCGCTGACTAAACCACCCCCCACAAACGGTCAATATCTGCAAACCCCTGATACCCTGGAGTTGACCCCGATAATAACAAGCAGCGAGAAGTCTAGTCCCGCTCCAACCTTCTGTTCTCCGTCCATGTTGCGGGGCCAGGGCCTATCCCAGCTCAGTGTGACTGCGTGGCTGTCGTCGTGGAGTTGCGCACAGCGCACATCTTGGAAACAGCAGGGCACATGCTGAAGAGCTTGTGTATGGGCGAGAGATTAGATTTCAAGCGACGCTCGCAACTGCTGATGGGCATGGACACCCGCGAACGTTTTCGACGACCTGGCGAGTATCGATTTCCATTGCCTATCGCGTCTAGCCGCGGTCTTCATCCAGAGCCGAGACATCTGTCGAGAAGAGCGGCGGGCATTTCCTGCGGTGCCGAATGCCCGACCCTCTTGTTGGCACCCAAGTAGAAGCTGTAAATAATAGCGCTTTGGCAAGCATTCCGCGAAAGGTTTTGTACAGCAAACGGCGAACCTACCCTTCCGGACCCGTCGCGTGACGTCTTGTAGCGAATGCGTCGGGTGTCCGGTGTGTGGGCCTTTTCCAAACATCAGATTCAAAAAAAAAAGAAAACGACATTCACTCTCCCGGTGGGTGGCTGTCTTTCTCCTCTCTTACTCGCACCGCTTCTCCCTGTGTCACAACGGACCAACAAGAACCTGGGCCTTGGCTTGTCAACGGAAGACTACCGACCGTACAAAGTTGTAGTACTAACAGTGACTTGTGAGCGGAAGATTAACGACCGAACCAAGTGGTAGCACTAACAATCTGCGGGTTGCCCAATGTATTGTGAAGCGTAGGGTTGGCAGGGTGCAAAGCTTCCTTTGGAATTCTGATCCAATACACCACACACCGAAGCGCCTGTCTCTTTCTCCACGTGTTGCAAGGTTCGGCTTGCTCACCGAGCTGCCCGCCGCCGTCCAGGTTCAGTTCGGTCCACGATTTTCTTTTGTTGTGCACACCGTTATCTTCTCTTTGAAGAACGCACCTTCCTCCCTCGTTCGTTTGTTCCCTCCCCATCACCTCCCGCAGCACTCTGTTTATCTTCGTGTTCAAAAGCACGGCCACTGCTCTCGGCCCTCCTCGGGTACCTTGCGGATCTTCTTCCGTGGGGCACTCGAACCTCGGGATAGAGAAAACGTGTGCTTCTCACCTGGCAATGCCGTGCACACGACCAAACTTTTAACAACCCGCCTCCGAGTCAGCTGCTGGCTCGTATCGGTCTGCGGAGTCAGATTCCGAAGGGCGCGGTCATACTTATATCATGCATCACGTTGGCTACTTTATTTTCTTTCCATTGCTTCCACTGCTCACGATCTTGCGGGTATTTGTAAAAATTGTGGATCGATAAGGTTCGTGCTGGTTACGAATCGCGAGCCAAACTCCCCCCTCAAAGGAAGGATGCAAAATAGCCTAAAAGTGGGTGCAGACGCCGGATCGAGACTGAGAATTCCGTCCTAGGAACTTGAGCTTCAAGTGTGAAGTGGTCTACCCGAGACGAAGAACGACGTGCGCAGGTAAAAATACGAAAACAAAGGACCGAAGTCGCTCATGGGTTCGTTCCTTATTAATGAAGTCATGTTACAGTTATTTACGACAGCCCACAGGTGCCTCGGGGCACACATTTGTTTGTAACGATTGCTCTGTTCTTCCAGGCTTGCTCCAGAACAAGCAAATCCGCAAGAACGACACGTACAACTATCAGGATCAAATACACGAAACAGTGTAGAAAGCACTTGATCACCAAACAACTCCAACGGAGTAAGCATTTGCACAAGGACCCACCGTGCGCTAGTCCGTTAGCAAGACCGTCTAGCCTCGACTTGCCCGGGCTCGTTCCCCTACAGAACAGAATCAAATGCCGGAATGATATCAACTGGTGTTGGTTGCAGGCTTCAAACCTGTAGGTGGGGTGACCCACAGCAGTTCAATTCCGCCTTTCCGGTGTTTTGCCACGTATCACGGTCAAAGCGTACCACTACTGGGAACCTGTACTTTTTTGGTGCACAACGCGAAAGTGATACAGCGCGATTGAAAAGCCTCGGCACACCCCCAAATAGGGTGAGTCACGTCATCCAACCAGACACCCGAAGACCCGAAGGTCATCCTAGCCTCTGCAGTTTTCCCATTTGGTCTTCCAGTCCTCCTCCCCCCGAGTATCGTCCATGAAAAAAGAACCGCCCGCAAAGGCAACTGACTGAGCGAAGTTCGCCGGAAACACAGGCGCCGTTAAAACAGAGCACAGCACACTGTTTTGCGCGTCGATTTTTGCGCGTCGACCACCCCATCCATGCACGGTGCCGAAAATGGGACCGGCTTCCCTCCCTCTCCCTCATTTGTCTGGCTCGTATTTTCTAATTTTTTTTTTGTACAAGCACCTGCTTGCGTCGGACGCGTCGCCCCGCACCGTCTTCAGCACGCCACTCGTACGCTTCTCTTCTTTCAGTTGCTCTACCCACGTCCGCGCGTTGGATCGAACTCAGCGGATCGAACTAAAGCGCTGGACTAATATACCGCGATGTCACAAAACTTAACACAACCGTCCGACCACGCTAACCCAAAGAAAGGAGGAAGAGAATCGGCTCCTGGGGGTTGTCTGCTGCGTGACATCGTCCAGTTCATCGGACTGGGGGAGTCTGAGTATGACTGGGGGGGCTCGCATCAGCTTTTGACGGTAGTGTAGTGGACTACCGTGGCTGTAACGGGTAACGGGGAATTAGGGTTCGATTCCGGAGAGGGAGCCTGAGAAACGACGACCACATCTAAGGACGGCAGCAGGTACGCAAATTTCCCAATAGCAACACTGCTGAGGCAGCGAAGAGAAATAGCCTCGACACGTACTTAGTACGTTAGAAACAATGGATGATATCTAAACCTGTCAAAGAACACAATTGGTGGACAAGTCTGGTGCCAGCACCCGCGGTAATTCCAGCACCAATAGATATATTAATGCTGCTGCTGTTAAAAAGCTCGTAGTTGGATCTAAAGCTCAGGTTGCAAGGTGGCCCAGTTTGCTGGGCATCAGCGTACTGCTGGTATTCAGAAGGCTGGGTAAACGATCAGCTCCCAGGCTTGAAACACACAAACGAATGAAAACACCACCGTAAAGAAAAAATCCACCGTCTCAACGTACACTCGAAGCTTGCGGCGGCTCCCGGCGCAGAGTGCTGCGCCTGTCGACCTGGCGAAGATATGAGTCAGCTACTTGCCATGGACGATCACGAGGAGCAGAAACCCCCTTCGTCTGACTCGCTCTCGCCCGTGCACGCGATTCACGAGGCAAGGATTCGTACCTACACGACCCTGAGAACGCCCGCGGAACCTGTCGACCACGGCGATGACGATATTAGTGGTGAGAGCATCGAAGACGGCGACGTCGTGACCGCTTTCGGATCAGTCCTCCCTGAATACATCGGTACCCTCCCGGTATGCTACGTTCATCGATCATGTGCACCGCCCCCTGTGCTCGACCCCGCACGGACAACTTCCGCCGGTAGAGTAAACTTGCCTAAATAAATCAACTGCCTTCGGGTAGGCTAGTCTGACTCTCTCTCGTTGTCGTCGGGGGGAAAAAAAAAGGCCGCCCCTACCGAGGGCGGATGTCATCAAGGACCTTGCAAACAGCAGGGTTGGGGCAACGTGGCTACGCCGGTCCCCCATCCCCTTCTATAGACCGGGATTTATTTACTCATGGCATAGAACACCTAACGACAATTCTAAGCGGCTTCGGCGGAAGGGAATAGACGTGAAAGACTGTGCGGTGTAGTGGGAGTGTGGGCCTTTGAAGCGTGGATGATGCCTCTCGCGCAGCTCCCTTGGGGGGTTCCTGGTTCATGCCAAAGCGCCGCCGCCCGGGTTAAGGGGTTGCGGCATCAGGCGTGGGCCAGGGCCAGGGAGGCTGTTCTGAGGGGTCACCCACAGACCTGTGTGTAATGTGGTGCACCGTTATTTTGAGGTCAGCGTGCAAAGAGATGGTCGCGGTAGCCTGCACTGCTGGATAGACAACAGCAGGCAACGCGATGCTGCTGCGGAGGATAGGGGAACCGGCTTGGTCGAAGATCCCCTTTTGCTCGGGTAGCTCACTCACGGCAAACAAGAAGCAAGGAGGTAACACAACGCCACCTCACACAGCCCGGGGGACTCGAAAATTTACGCTTCAACGACTTGTTCCACCATTGCGAAGCGACGAAACGGCGACCCGCGAACCGCGTTTTTCTGAAGAGTTGGAAAAGCTTTCAAGCTACGGCGGCTCAGCAGCACTACGAAGCGAACCCTTCCGATTACATTGCTGTATGTTGCGTTTCCCTTTTGGTTTTTTTGTATGTGCGCTAGGTGTCAAGGGGGGGCCTTCACGTGGCGACACTGTTGACCGCACCTTAATTGAGTCGCGGTCGCCCATCCCCCAACCGCCAGCATCACGTACTTGATGCGACGCGGAACAAGTAGCACCGCCCGGCGAATAGAGGGCCACAAAAGTGGCAAATCGACCTGCTTAGCAGCCAATGGCCTGATGGCTGAGTGCACACCTAAGCAGGGCTGCATCCTCGTGTTGTAGCCGTGTTGTGTTTAAGGCTTCGTGGGGGCCTGGACAACCACCTCATCATAATAGGCTGCCCCCTGCGCCTGCTGTCTCCGGCTGCTTCGGCAGACGATACATACTACTACTACCTACTGTATTTTCGCTGCTTGCCACATCTTCGGGTGAGGTGTGCCGCCTGTGTAAAGACACTCAGCTGTTGCACGGGGCCGAAAACCCCGTGCGGCTAACACCGCAAGAGCATGAAACCAGAAGTCTTGAGCCGAGCGCCGTATGGAGAAGCTGACAGCCTCCCACGCTCTCCACCCACCCTTCGGAGAGGAGTCACAGGACCCAAAAGCGGCGTGTCGAAAACTCAAAGCCGACTGGCGAATGTGACAAGTGGGCTATACTTCGATTCAGCCGTTACCCACTCAAAGCCCTGAACTTAAACACACACACACACACACACACACACACACACCACACACACACACAGCTGTGCCACGACGTGAGCGACTACGAAGAGTGCTTCTGGAACTACCGGGAGAACCGCTTCTGCACCTGCGAAGAGGCTGAAGTTTTCGACGACGTGCTCGAGCAGGTGTTCCAGACGAAGGGCAGCTTCCTGGACGACCCTGTGTCCGACAAGGAGAGCGCCGAGGTCACCCTCAGCGGCGGCCACTCCGTCGCGACGACGACGATGCAGGGCTGGCGCAGCGGCCACGAGGACGACGGCGTCGTCTGCCCGGAGCTGCCGTCGCATCCGGGCGTCGCGCTGGTCTGCGTGCTCGACGGGCATGGGGGCGAGAGGGTGGCCCACAGGGTAGCTGGCCGCCTGGCCTCCATATTCGACGAATGCCTGCCCCCAGCCGAGATGCGGCAGTTCGCTTCCCTGCCTGCCGGCTCCGCCGAATTGACGGGCGCCCCCCAGGACCTGGTGGCGGAAGGTGTGGTGAGGGCGTTCCTCGCGGCCGACGAGGACGTGGAGGCAGCGTTGAAGTCGGACCATACCGGCTGCACGGGCACGACGCTCAACACCGTGCTGCTCACGCCGTCGACGTACATCGTCGGGAACTCCGGCGACAGCCGGATCGTCCTCTGCCGCGGGGGCAAGGCGGTGCGCCTCTCGCACGACCATAAGCCGGACTCTCCCCGCGAGAGCGTGCGGATCCTGAAAGCCGGCGGGGTGGTTACCGACGGGCGGGTGGAGGGCTTGCTCGCAGTGTCGCGGGCCCTCGGCGACTTCGACTTCAAGCAAGCGGGCGGTCTGCCGGCCCGTGACCAGGCAGTTTCCGCATGTCCGGACGTGTCGTTTCACGCCCGTTCGCCCGACGACCAGTTCCTCGTCCAAGCCTGCGACGGCATCTGGGACTGCATGACGGACGACGAGGTCTGCAGCTTCATCCGGATCAGGCTCGCGGCTTCGGTGCCGCCGCGCAGCATCGTCGAGAGCCTCTGCGACAACTGCATCGCGCCCAGCATCGACGAAAGCGGGATCGGGACGGACAACATGTCGGTGCACTGCATTCTGCTCAAAAATTGAGGTCGCCCGAGTCCAGCCGGAGGGTTTGTCGTTGCGGGCACGGGCCCTTGGTCCCTTTGTCGACCGCTTTGGATCGAGAACTTCGTAAATGAATGACGATGATGAAGTTCTGGACGAGCTTATACGTAGAGGCGGGCTTGGCGGTCGCCTGCTGCCAACGAAGGTCATCATGACCTCAATCAAGCTCACGCTACGTGGTCACGATGCTGCGCGCTGATTGAGGCGGGAAATTTCCTGCTTGGAGTTTGCCCATCAAAGTATCACGGGCATGACCTGAGCAAACGACGGTGCGAGCCTCAAGTGACTTTTGTCTAGTCTATGGCGGGCCACGCGTACAATCAATCCTTTGCTTTTTCAAACAATTTCGCATTACATAGGGCTCTCATTGCGTTCGTTCGTGGTTTTGTCCTTTGACAGAGTGAGCCAATGCCTCTCATCTCACCCTTTAAGACACGGCTGTGGTCGCGTTAGTGGGGAGTCATTTGCACGCAAATGAGTACTCCAGTGCAGCATTTTTTCATTTCTTCTTTAGCGTGCCTTGGGTGAGTCGCTGGTTTAAGCAACTCTTCTCAATCAAACGAACAGACAATTTCTTCAATTGGGTGAAGGTGAGCATGCAAGCGCCCCGTGTTCGTCCCAACTTCCTAGTGGCTGCAACCAACGGTTGCTGGCTCATATGATTTTTTCTGGTCGCATAAGATCGAAGATCTCAGAAGATTAATACTAATACTATTCCGACGAGAACTAACACTTGTACAAAGGTAATAACCCGTCGCTCCCGAGAAGAACACCGTAATTTTCCTCGGTTGTGAGTCATGTTTTCCAGTTGGCCCGTCAGAAGTTTGACACGAACCGTTCGACAACGAGGGACGTCCGACCCAACTG